CCCCCCCCGCCGGGGTTCCCCGCCGCGGCTGAGCCACCCTCCCGCGGTTACTCACGGCTCTCCCGGCGCGGCGGCTGCCCGCCCCGGCCCGGGGGAGGCTGCGGAGGCGGCTCTGCCCGCCCGGCCTCGCAGGGCCTCGGCGGCTGCGGGGAAAAGGAGAATAACCGTGGTTTGTTGCAGGCTCTGGCGCTGCCTCTGCGATCCTCGCCCTCAGCCTTAACGTACGTGTAATGTACTCGCACCGTTTTATAAAGCCCCTAGCAAACCGTGGATTAAAACCCATTAGGTACATCAGCATGAGGTAACTATAATATACACCATACTCCTTCACCATCATAAGTGTTGCCTTCTTTTTGTAGCACACAAATCAGAACTCGCTGCCGGAACCAGAATTTGTCACAGTATAAGATGTGTTTAATAAAGATGCTCGAAGTCCCTTTTTTCCCCCAAGAGATCTATGATTTTCAGCTTTATCACGTAAGATTTGAAACACTCTTAGCTGGCGCATCTTCCAGCCTGCTTTACCTTTATTCTGGATTGCAAAAATCAAGATTTATGGGCTGAAAGTCCAGTGCCAAAAGAGGGAACGCCTCAGAAAACAAGCCCAGAACCATGATGTAACATCTGAAAATGTCTCTTAGTCAGCGTTTACTGCTGGCAACATAATACCACCATCCTATCGTCTTGTCCTCCAAAATAAAGGAACTGCTTCCAGGAAATTTGGGAGGGGGCAAACACTTCCCTGGCAGAAATTCCTGTCTTTGCAGTTTGTATCCTTGATGAGTGAAGCCCCAATTTATGAGAGGTGCCTTCTTCCGATAAACATTTTCTGTCGTTACTTCCCTTCATACACAGTGAACAGTAAATTTTGACAGCTGTCACTCATCCTTCAGCATTTTCAGTACTTAGGAAGGAATCATGGAAATGGCAAAAGTGGAAAGTTTTGACAGCTGAGACACAGGTGAGGGATCAGAATTTGCTGCTTCTTGTTACAGCCAAAAAAGAGAGTGAAAATGTAAACGCACATAACACTGTTTTTCTGCTTATAAGTATGTACGTATACATCCAGAAATAACCAGCAAATTTATTACAGTGCAAAAATGAAGTCAATATCATAAATATGTGATTGACTTTAACAACACAGCACATTTAAGGCCCAGTTCCAGTTTCAGACAGGAACATGGGCGTGATTCTCTTTCAAAAACGTCCTAAGTTTAGGTAGGATAGAGTCATGAAAAGACAAAGAATAACAAAAATATGAAAAAAAGAAATAAAATTATGCAATTCCTTTCTGGGAATAAATATATTCCCCACCTTGGACCAGAACAACAACTTTTTCCACTTTCTAAACGTCAGGATGCGTCTGCCTGAGAGCGCAACTCCTCGCAGACCGTTTAGTCCACGCATCCACCGTTTCAAAGAATGAGAACATTGTTCTCTTAAATATTTGCACTAACCATTTCATTACACATTGCTGATCCATTAAATTAACACCTACTACAGTCATACACAGGCACTTTCAGGGTTGTATGGCTGCTGTCTGGCCTTTCAGAAGCATGCAGGCACTGCTTGCACGCTCTTGCTAGAGTATGAGGACAGGGGAAACGTCTTACTGTAGCAACAGAGACATGATCTACTCCTGTAGCTCAAGTTTGATTTTTTTTTTTTTAATCTTAATAAATTGCTAATTTCATCAGTCCCTAACCCCATGGCTCCTACATACCATCAGTCTTACCTATTTCTGTCTCTATCCTGTTCCCCTGAGTAAGTATCTGGGGTTTGAGCTGTGTACTCTGCTATTGAATAAATATTCAACACTGCCATATAATAATAATAATCAACGCTGCCGATTTACTCATTCTCTTATTCTCCCTGATACTTCCTATTTGGGAAAATCTTCAAGGTGTTGTTCCTGTATAAAACTGCAAATATTGACTCAAGAAACAGGCTATAGATTTCAGAGACTTTCTGGAAAACTTGTGAACTAGAAGCCAGTGAGAAAATTACACTAATTCACATACGTTGTACTGGTTTTCTGCCTGTGACAATACTCAGCATTCTGCATTTTAATATTTAATAATATTCATCATTCAAGAAATAGTCCTGGCATAATTCAACAGTATAAACAATCCTCTTTTGTTTAACAGCCTTTAAAGCATGGCACAGAGTATGTGTTACCAAGTGAATATATCCTGAAAAATCATTCACTCACTGCTGAAACGTATCCATCAAGGATAGAAAGAAATACCTGTGCTGTAAGTCACAAGAAACTCAATTCAGCTCCCACAGCAATTCTTATTGAATTCAATAAAATTCAGTTTATCCTAAGAATATCTCTTCGTAAGTAATCTGCTGTCTGAGACGCACCTTTTTACCATCTCCTACACTTTCAGTCTTCTTTTTTATTGCTCCTTTTTTTTTCCCCTTTTCATTTAGCCTTGGATGTTTTCCCCTGTTTCAGATGTCCGCCATCCTTGCATTAAGCGGAAGGAAAAACAGGAGTATCCTGTGTACCTTTTAAAGGCCATTATGGTGTAATAGACATTAGACACTATATTAGAAATGCATTCATTCATCAGCTATGGGGGTGGTGAAGCTAGAAAAAAGGAAACTGGGACACTCTGGTAGTCTTCACTGTATGTGAAGAGTATCAGAGTGGGTTCCCTGTTTCAACGCAAGAGCTAAGTGGAGCGCTGGTATCACAAAAGCTAAGGAAAGGCAATAGTGACTTAAAGCCCCACAGCATGCAGTCAAATCGTGAGCTGTACCCTGCAGCCCTCAAGAGTCACAGGGGGATGACTGCAAAGGCTTAAACTAATATTTCTGCTTGATCCCAAAAGTAGCAACAAAGATTTATTAAAACATAGTGGGTTTTTTTTTCTTTGCTTTGCTCCTTCAGCCCTCCAAAGCACATAGTTTTATGCCATAGCTCTTGCACAACAGCTCCAGGAAGCAGCAGTCTGGCGAGAATTACCCCTTCCCTCTTTTCACATATCCATAGCATCTATATCGAGCCTGAACAAATTAATGTGGGTAAGAGATGCAAACGCTTTTCCGCCCCTTCTCTTCCAAATTACCAATATCACCACTGTCTGCTTTAGGATACTATTGGGAAAAAAAACTTTCTGTTGTTCTTGAATCAAATACACTGTCATCTGTATCTTCCCTTCTTAATGTTTATGCTGCAGAATTTCCCCAACAGCTCATGCATGCTCCTTCTTATTTTCTTCCCTAATCCCTCCCTAACAAAAAAAAAAAAAAGAAAAGAAAAAAAAATTTCAAATGACACTCTGAATATGAGGTGACATCAACAAGTAACTGGTGTACCACCAAAGCATTAAATAGCAAGAGACATTTACAAGGGCCAGAAAACACCTGATGGTCCAGCCAAGGTAAAAGAACCCTCTGCAAAAGCAACTGTTGCCCTTTTCAAACACTGAAAATGCAGTTCACTCTGCTACATTAAACACCGTTTTACAAGCAAATCCTCTATCACACACACTTGACAAGTGGCTCTCTGTGAAAAGCAAATGGAGCCAGCGACTGCTAAATGAATCCCGAGAACAATCTGTGATGGAATTAGAGTTTCCCAACATCGACTCAACCCAAACATTTAAGTCAAAACCAAACAGAACAAATTAAATCAAATTATGAAAAATCATATGACCTCACCAATGGCAATACCTCCAGTTTTCACAACTGACTCCTATATAAAATCCCCTTCAGCATCACTTCTGTAGCAATCTAGCACAACAGTGCAAGGAACAATCTTTCAGGGATAGCATGGGAAAACTCAGTAAAAAAATATACCCCTCCATACATCCAAAAAAAAAAAAAAAAGCAGTAAGACCACAGAATGGGTGCGCTTCCACAGAGTCACCAGCCAAAACTCCCTAAAATCTATCAG